AAGATGAATTTTTCAGCAGCCATTACTTCAGTCTTCAGTGTCACATGATCTCTTCAGAAATCATTCTAATATGCTGATTTGGTGCTTAAAATATTTTTTTATATAATCAATGTTGAAAACAGTTGTGGTGCTTAAAATGATAATGCAAACCATGGTTTTCTTTCCATGATTCTTTGATGAATTTAAAGTTCAAAAACATTTTGTCTTTACAACAGTCTTTGCTGTCAGTTTTGATCAAATGAATGTATCCTTCTTTAATAAAAATATGAATTTCTTTAAAAAATCTTACTGGTGCCAAACTTTTGAACAGTAGTGTATACACAATATAAATGTAATATTACAAGTTACATTTGCACAAAATGAACTTGAAGTCACGTGCTAGTTAGAATGTGAAAATCATGTGAACAAACTAAAGCAGTAGCAAAAAACTAAAGAAATCACAACATTGTATATAATAATGTCACTATTTCAGAAGATCAGGTTTTCACAAGGGCAGTTTTTCACATGTTAATTTAATATTTCAAATATTCAAACATTTGGTATAGTTTTGCAGTTTTTCCATCAACTAAAATATTTTTTGTTGACTAAAAATCAGATGCCATTTTAGTCAAAGTAAAATGGACTAAAATGAATGAATATGGCGTGACAAAACAATAACAAAATGAAGAGGACATTTTCATCAAAAGCTATAACTAAAACAAAATAAACAAACAATCTGAAAGTCAGCAAATTAGCTAGAAACACAATCTGCATCTCATCCATAGAAATGTGGCTTAAGTTTCTGTGATCAGTAGATCTCTCAAAAGGCACATATTTTGTTTATTTAACAAGTATAAATGTGCTATGAACTGTTGATCATTTATGAATAAACATTCAAGGCAAAGGGTTGTGAGTCAGCGGTGCTTTTGTAATTTCCAGAGACATTCCGCACAGAGCACAAAAAACAAACTCATAACAGGTCTTTAATGCAGTTTCTTGGGAGAAAAATTGAGCATTAGTCAGTCTAAACTCAAGTTATCATGTTTACTCTTTGATCTCACTACAGGATAAGTGCATTTCGCCTCAGAAACAATCCCTCAATCAACATTAGAGGGTTGGAGGGAAGCTCTGACACAATTATGAAAGGAAAAGATTCGTAAGAGCGGGCAGCCGTTCAGGTTCGATTAAGATCCTACTGACAGCTGGTGAGCTGCCGAACCTAAACAGAGCACGGAGCTGTTTAACTGTGTAAATGGCTGATTCATCCATTCACTGAAGTCTGACAGAGAAAGCGAGAAGGAAAATCCAATGTTGTGATGGCTTTTTGGGATGTCATGAGGGATTGTGTTTTGTGGTTGAGAAAATCTCTTTCTATTAGATAGATTTTTGTGCCCATGGAGACCCGCAGGTTTCAGAAATTTGATTTCTGCTTGTGGAAGTGATTTACAGCAGCAATGTGTCTAAGTCCCAATGGGACGAGGCTCAATTCCAAAAACACTGCTTCACTGATTTTCAATGGCTTGCTCAAGTGTTCCCGCCCTCAAGGGAGAGAAAAAAAATCCCACCCTGACGAACATCATCAATTTGAATTGAAGTATTTAATTGTCAGAAATTGGGAGAAATTGACAACTCGACTGTCTCCAAAGTGATACCCAGAAGAGACAGCGAGAATGTAATGTAAATGTCTCAGTCAAATTACCATGAAATATTTTCGGGGCACCTGAAACATTTGAAGCAAAGCATGCTGCATATTTCAGTTTTAATGTCCATTATGCTTACATGTTAAATAAAACATCTTACTGCTTTAGTTTTAAATTGTACAGGGCAGTGCATGACTGATTCAAGCTGGTCACTCATATTTCTGAACGAGTTGTTAAAGGAACCGGCTCATAAGAGTCATTAATTTGAGGAAATGACTCTTGTTTTTGTTCATAAGAGTCAGTTGTTTGTGAACAGAACTACACTGATCATGCTTATGTTTTTGATTCAATAAAAAGAACCTGTACATAAGAGTCATTTGCTTGTAGATCACATAACACATGTATGTTTTGATTCACTAAAAAGAACTAGATCTTGCAGGACATTTGTTCAAGATTTGGTCAACATACAATAGGTTGCACTATGTTTTTGATTCACTGAACAGAACCACATACGATTCATTTGCACTTAATTCACACTACATAAGGCTCGCTGCATGTTTTTGATTCAATAAGAGGAATATGTTCATAAGAGTAATTTGTTGTGAATCAAACTACACTGGTACTGCTGTTTATTTATTATTCATCGAAAAGAACTGTTCATAAGAGCCATTTGCTCATGACTCACATTACTGACTGTGTGTTTTTGATTCATTAAAAAGAACCAACTCTCAGGAGCCATGTGTCCATTTGTTTGGGATTGTGTTCAGACTACATAGGTTGCTCTGTATGTTTTTCATTCTCTAAAAAGAACCACATCATATGAGTCATTTGTTCTTGAATCACACTACACTGGTCTCGCTGTATGTTTTTGATTCACTAAAATGAACCCGTTCATATAAGAGTCATTTGCTTGTAAATCAAATACACTGGCCTTGCTGTATGTTTTTCACTCAGAAACTGTTTATAAGAATCACTTGCTTGTGAATCACACTACACTGGTCTTGCTGTATGTTTCTTATTCACTAAACATAACCTGTTCATACAAGTCATTTGCTCATAAATCACACTTTTCTGGTCTCACCGTAAACTTTTAAGAGCCATTTGTCCATTTCCTGGACTCGCTATGCATTTTTGATTCACTAAAAGAACCTGTTCATAAGAGTCATTTTCTTCTGAATCACACTATACTTGTCTCGCTGCATGTTTATGATTCACTAAAAAGAACTGGAAAGATTGTTAAAAGATTGTGGAAATATCACTGAAAGAACTGTGGAAAGATTACTCGGAAAATCCATATTCGATTTCCAAACTCATCCGTCAGATTAAATAATCACAGCACATGTTTTTACTAAACTATCATAAGCAACTAGCTGTGCAAATGAATGAAAATGTAGTAGAGGATATGTGTGGTCCACAATCACACGGTCTGCATAATGCGTATCTGACAGACTCATATGCGGAGGACGGTAATTGCCTCTTTACAGCGCTCCTACAGAAGATGATTTGTTGAAACACAAGACACTGACATTCACTCTGAGGGCTAATTCACTGCTGGAATCAGAAGCAGACTTGTCATTTAGAGAAAAACTAAAATCAGAGGATAAAACGACTGTATTTGTATTTGCATATCAGTGTTTATTTGCATACAGTACATGCACATCTCTTCATGTAAATTCAAAAATGTCTTATAGAAGGTAAAAATATAATTGATAACAGCTAAGTTTAGTGAAACTGCAAAAGTTCTCCACGTACGGCTTAAAAAAGTTTCATTCGTTTAGGAAATCTTAAAAGGAAACTTGGAGAGCAAACAAAAGCAGCGTGTTCCTCTCACAGCACTGACTTTAATGTAGTTTAATACTGCGCTGTTGCTATGGATACAAGAATAAAACCTTACGTGAGACTGAAACTCAACCCAAGAGAATCAACACTTTCTCAGTTATTTTTCAACCAACTCTTGACAACAAGAAGCTGTGTATAAATCACAACAAGCTAGATTTGCACTCCACATAGACATCATTATGCATTATTGCATAAATCATGAATCAGATGCTTTGTGTCCTCTTCCTTCACGCAGAAGAGACAGGAACGATATGGTAAACCTTTACTCAACATGACAAAGCCATACAGGTTATGATTCAGTTTTAACTGCGGGCAATCTAGAGTTACGAATAAACAGAACTGATGTGGCTGGGGGAAATGGCTTGTCAGGCTTGTTCTTCATTCCGTATGGATTAGGAAGGAGGTGTAAAAATCCCAAACTCTTGGGGCTTTTTTTGTCAGTTCATCAAAGGAACCATCGTTCTTAGTGGTCCAGATATGAAACTCTCTTCTCTACATCACGTGGCCAGCTGCCATAGAAACAACCACACTGTTCAGACCACAATCTGTTCTTAATGAGAGATCTGCCTTTTACAGCCCATTTACAATCATTGGGGTTGTGACTGCACCTGCGTTCCAAACAGGTACCGTATGTGACTTGTTTTGTAAATGCAATCTGGGTTCTAGTTTCACAGGTATATGTGAATGAAATTTGCAAAGTAGTCTATCTTTTTCATTCAGCATTAATTTCTTTGAGGTCAAGAGCCGCCACTTAGATGAACATGCCAATATATGCTGTTGTTCAAAAGTTTTAGGTTGGTAAGTTTCTTAATGCTTTTGAAAGAAGTCTTTTATGCTCACCAAGGCTGCATTTATTTGATAAAAATACATTAGAAAGAGTAATACATTGAAATATTATTACAATTTAAAATGACTGTTTTATAACTGAATATATTTTAAAATTTAATTTATTCCTGTGTGCTGCTTAATATTTTTGTGGATAATTTTTTTCATTTATCTTTCAACAATTCTTTGATGAACAGAAAGCTCAAAAGAACAGCATTTATTTGAAATAATTTTTTTTTATAACATTATAAATGTCTTCACTGTCACTTTTGATTATTTTAATGTGTTCTTACTCAATAAAAGTATTAATTTCTGTCAAAAAAACCTTTTTGAACAAGAGTGTACACTCTTCATTACACAGTTTCTGTGTAATTCCAACAGTAAGTCGGTCTTATGTAGAACTACACATTCATTTCAATGTGGCAATTTATGCACAAATGGATCTGTGAACAATCCACACATACCAACAATCTGCAGTCATGTTGTTCCAAACCCATATGACTGTCTTTGACTCGGTGATGCCCATTTATTTTCATTATATGGAGAAAAACAGTTGAAACACTATGTAAAATATCTTCTTTTATGTTGTACAGAAGTCATATAGGTTTGGAATGAAATGAGGGTGTGCAAATGATGACAGGAATTAACATTTTATGGTGAACTATCCCTGTAAACGAATGTTCTTCCATCATATAAGAAAAGCACCCACATACTGACCTCAGGCAGCCGGTGGCATTGCGAAGTACTTGAGATGTGTGCATTTGAAGCTTGCGGTCCTCCTGATGTGGGGACACGTCCCAGGTGGAATGGGGTATAATCACGGTGTTGGTCAAGACGGCTAGAGCGTCCTGGATTATAGGCATCTTCAGAGCATCACACGAGGACAGGTTCCACAACACACCTGCACAGGACAAACACATAAGCGCAATGTTTGGCATAGCAAATAGGTAAAGCCATCTCTATTGCAACATTTGTGAACCATATTTGAAGACAAACTATTAAAGGAATAGTTCACCCAAAAATTAAAATTTTATGACAATGTACTCACCCTTAGGCCATCCAAGATGTAGATGAGTTTGTTTGTTAATCGGAATAGATTTGGAGAAATTTAGCATTACATCCCATGCTCACCAATAGATCCTCTGCAGTGAATGGGTGCCATCAGAAAACAGTTCAAAAAGCTGATAAAAACATCACAATAATCCACAACACGACTCCAGTTCATCAATTAACGTCTTGTGAAGCGAAAAGCTGCATATTTGTAAGAAACAAATCCATCATTAAGACATTTTTAACTACAAACTGTTGCTTCCGGCTAAAATACGAGTACGAGACATATCCATTTACAAGTGAAAACAGTCCAAAACAGTTCTGCTATTTCGTTCAGAAGTGACAGATTAAAGTTAAAATGCCTTAATGATTGATTTGTTTCTTACAAACACAGCTTTTCACTTCACATGATGTTATTTGATGGACTGGAGTCGTGGATTATTGTGATGTTTTTATCAGCTGTTTTGTCTCTCATCCTGACGGCACCCATTCACTGCAGAGGATCCATTAGTGAGCAAGTGATGTAATGCTACATTTCTCCAAATCTGTTACGATGAAGACATACGGATGTCCTGAGGGTGAGTAAATTTTCAACAAATTTTCATTTTTGGGTGAACTATTGCTTTAACAGTTGTGTGGTGTATACTTCGAGACCCCTGCTTGAAAGTGACTGCAGTAATGCACAAGAAATAATGCTTTTCTATTACTGCTTTTTCAGAGGGGTAAAACATTCACAGAACATTGTCAATTCTGTGCTTGAGCTTGCCTGAGACAGGTTTTGACAACGTCTCACACAGACTCAGAGACCCACACAAATGTAGAGCTGAACACCGGAGGAAAAAAACATAATTTGACATGCTTTAAAGCATGCAGTCTCACATTACAATGGCGGACTAACAGCATTTTACCAAACTCCTTCACAGCTTCGCCAAGACTCAGAGGGAGGACTTATGCAATATGATTTACTAGATGCAATTCATATAAAACAACTCCTCTGTACTGCACAAACCTTTAGATTACATCTGAGAGATTCCATTTTTTAAATAGATAAAAATGCTACAACAAACAGAATTTCTTAGTCGGCTAAAATTAAACAGCCTACATACAGTAACAAGGCTAACTTTTACAGACTATTAAAAACATGCCAAGATTAATATCTTTGGTTCCACGTACTGTAGCACGTCCCTGTTATTGTTATCACTGCAGCCATTAGAGATTTGTCAAAGCCATTCTTGCAGAAACATCATATTTGCCTCAGACAGTAATTTAATAAACAAATAGAAACGATGGAGAAGAAGAGGATGGAGACATTAGCATTTTAATTTTTGTTTAGGAATGGATAATGACAGTGGAAGAGACAATCAAAATGTTTGTTCGGTCAAGACCTTTTGTTCTCCAACATATGCATAACTCTGATATGCAGTTTGATGGCGGCTACAGTATGTTGAAAGATCTGAAGGATAAAAAGTGAAGCAGTTACTGTATGTTCGTATATATTTGTGTGGGAGGTCTGTCCTAAACTAGCAGAGATCAACCAGCCATATTCTGTGGGCATAACAGTCATGTGACTACACAGTAATCTCCTTTATGACTGGTAAGAAAAGCCCCTCATTTTCATGTTTTGGACAAGAAACAATGCACTTAATTAGACTTTCAAACATGCTAATTACTGCGTCTCTTCTTCCAGATCCCAAAGAAAAAATTCATACAATTCTACAGTTGACTAACTATATCAACACAACACAAGGTTTCAACAGTTTGTAAGCAAACATCTCAAGACCTGCACAGACAGCTCTAATTTTCTTACGTCACCATGGTGATTAGCCACACTGAAAAGATCAAACACATTGCATTGTGGGATACAGTATTTTCACAGCATGTAATTTAACGTACATACACCATTTAAAAAGTTTGGGGTCAGTAAGATTAAAAAAATTTTTTTAAACATTAAAGAGATTACATTACAGAAAGTTCACCCAAAATCAACCAAACAGTTAATGGTAGCCATTGACTTCCACAGTATGGAGAGAAAAAAAAATACTATGGAAGTCAATGGCTACCGTGAACTGTTTTGTTACCCACATTCTTCTAAATATTTTCTTCATCAGAAGACAGAAACTCATTCAGGTTTGGAACAACTTGAGGGTGAGTAATACATTTTAACAATAGTTCACAATATTACTGTAGGTGAGACTTTATTAAAACATTATTAAAAGGAATTATTAACTACAAATAGTAACTAATTATTAAAACATCTTACTGATCACATACTTTTGAGCAGTGGTGTAGAATATATAATAATAATAGAACATATTGAGCAAAGTACACTTACTGCATACTACTTTATTTAAATAAAAGGTAGTATGCTGCTTTTTCGAACAGATTCAAGGATCCTTACTCTACCGTGACAAGCATTACAAAATTCCAGGCCACTTACACCATCGATCATCAACTTATTTCAAGTTGCAACAAGAAGAAACTCTTATTAAGGCTGTAGGAGGTCAATTTCAAGCAGTCAATACTAAAACATCCCGCAAATGAGAAATAACCAATTTAGCCATGCATGCGGCTAATTAGCCTATCCTGAGCTCATCAATATCTCACCTGAGAGAGCTCACTCTCTGAGGCAGTAATTTATCCTGACAGATGCTATATCACAGAGGATATGTCTAATTTCATCCTAAATCTCCAGAACATTCTAATGTCTAGCAGCTGCAAGGAGAGAAATTAATTTTTGTAGGACATTTTCATGCTAATATAAAACCATAAATATAGCCAAACACAGCAATTATGTTCTAATCAGAAAACAGCATAGTAGCTAGAATAGATGCATGCTTTTAGCATGCTCCTGTTTTATTAGATTCACTTTACATTATTTTCTGCAGTTGCATAACTACACACAACTCTCTTTGTAGCTGGAAGCATTATCAAATTTGCTCAAATATTTGATAAACAAACATTCAAGGAAAAGGGTCGAATTCTGTGAAGCTTTACGAATTCTGAAAATGTACATTATATTTATTTATTTAGCAGATGCTTTTAGACAACGTGACTAAATAAGCAAAAATACTAGCAGTGTTTGAATGCAGAATTTCAAGAGATTTAACAAATCACAACAGTGATCGCCCACTTTTCACTGGCCTTGAAAGAAAGAAAGAAAGAAAGAAAGAAAGAAAGTGGCTTATAGCTAGCAATTCAGCAAACAAATAAAAAAATAAAAAGTTATTTAAACAAAACATTTTTAACTTTCTGGTTATGAATTTACTACCAATATTTTGTGAATAATTAATAAGTCCATATAAAATGAACTCAGGAGAGATTCATACACAGTTCATACACAGAAGTTAGGCTTAATCTCACCTCCTGCTGTACTGAATGAACGGCCGTGCAGGGGTTCTGCTATTGCCTGTAATGTGAAGAGCTTCCTGCTAAAAGCCACTTTGTGTCACTCAGCACTACGAAAAAATTAGCAGATGTCAGAATGGAGGACAAACTCTAAAAACAGTGATGATGACTAATCGCAGAACACGTGCATCTTATTAGAACAAAGCCAACCTTCAACATCAACCCAGCCGCTCCTTCCCACTGTCCATCATCTTCACAAAGGACACGCAAAATGAATCAGACCAAACTTCTATTTTTCCCATTTGGAAACTATGCACTTTTATGAGTCAGTATGAAGAGGTGGCAGTTGAATAGTTGATGACGTTGACCTTGCCAGCTTCTTGCTGTCACACACACACACACACACACACACAAGCTGTGAGCCTTTATTTCCAGAGCCCGGTTGGGGCTGATTGCATGTGCTGGCGAAAAACTTTTCATTGTGATTATTCTGATGAACACCTCATCTCTTCACCACAAGCCTTAGAAGGGCAGCCTTAGTATTTCTAAACTAAGGTGGGCATGTCAAGCAGAGCAGTTTTAGATAAAAATTCACATTTATGTCACAGAGGTTATTAGTAATAATCCACCTGGAAGAGAAATTAGATTCACACCATGAGCTCAACAATTGCTGTATACTCTCAGAAAAAAAGGGTACAAAAGCCGTGACTACAGTGGGTATAGAAAAGAATCACCCCCTTTAAAATAATAGCATTTTGTTGCTTTGCAGACAATCCAGCTGTATTTACTCAGTGCAACTTATAACATCCAAGTGAAACATATAACACTAACACCAACATGTCAGAAAATAAATAAATAAATAAAAAACTAGAATCACTGAATTGGAAAAAGGATCACCCCATTGTGTCAGTATTTTGTTGAACCACCTTTTACTTTAATTATAGCCTTTAGTCTGTTGGGATATGTCTCTGTCTCTACTAACTTTGCACATCTAGACTTTGCAATATTTGCCCACTCTTCTTTGCAGAACTGCTCAAGTTCAGTTCAATTTGATGTTGTCCGTTTGTGGACTGCAGTCTTCAAGTCATTCCACAGATTTTCAGT